GTGTTTCACATCGATATAAATCACGTTGTAATGGTTGTAATGGTTCAATACACATTGAAATTTTTGTTTCACGATTTTGTTCACCATCATCAACAATACCTGTATAAAGAACAAGACCATTTTTTGGTAATGTATTTTGTGTATATAAACGAAGTCGTCCTTGAGCAGCACTTAATGCTTGTTGAACATTATGTCGAGTTTGAGGTGATCTAATAGATGATGATAGAGCATATTCATCAGTAAGAAGTCTCGTTGTTTGTGATAGTTGTGATTGAGCAGGAACAATTATTGTTACTAATGATGTACCATGTCCACGTAATGATGATAAATATTGAATAGTTCGACGAAGTTTCCATTTTTCAATGGCAGAATCATCATTTTGCATTGCTGTAGCCATAGGAGATAGTCTGAATAAGTTTTTTTTTACAATTTCTGAAAGTTATTATGTCCATAGCACTGATATTCATCAAGCTTTTATAGTTGAGAATAAGAGGGAATAATACTATTATGTACCAGGTATAATACCAAAATTTCAGAGTTTTATAAGGTGAAATAATTATAAAACTTCAACGTTAAATAGTAGATAAGGTAATTGCGAAATTTACATGCAGAACAGAATCAAGATGTAAGAGAAAGGAAAGAAAGAAGCATGGAGAGAAAAAACCAACATGAATCAACATAGTCGACATTATAAAATATGAATCGTATTTCTAACCATCCCAGGTCGAACTCATCCCATTGGATCCGATGGGAATTCGTCGGAATCCTTAGTACAGGAATCCGACTGTCGGACTGCTCGTCCTGGGTTATTATATCGATCAAGTTCGATTTCATAATTAGATTTCATTGATGAAACAAAAAAATATTTTATACAATAATAGTTTTCGTAACAATTTCTTTTTAATCTACATGTCTATCTTCATTAAAAAGGATTCCAAAAGATATAAGTTGTACTATTTCCATTGCATCGGACAAGATATGAACAGAATCAAATTGAACAAAGATTTTTCATATCATTAGAATACGAAAGAATTCCAATCTTATCTTTTAAAAATGATTGACCTTTACGTATCATTTGAATTTTCTATTAATTATCTTCGATTTTTCTTTTCGTTGCAGAATAGTATCCGAATCAATCTATGCATACTAAAGGTCAAACAAATCTGTCTCTACTTCTATTACCTGTATTATGAATCAATGTAGTTATATTCATTAATTATATTTTTTTGGAAATCTTTATAGATTGATAAGAAAAATAAATAAAGATGCAAAATATCCTCTAGACAATAGTGATAATTATTATGTTTCTTATCTATTCAAAACGATTTTACGTAATTTGAACGTTAATTTATTTTATTTATTAGACTTTGATTCATTAGCATATTGAATAATGAATATATAACTTGTTTGATAGAATGATTTTTTTTTTTGTTATGATAAAGCCAAGAAAGAAAACATATTCTATGTAAATACCAAACGAAAAATGTGCGTGTTCAAATTCAGTTCAATTTTGAATTGCATCTGTACACCATCGCATTTTGCGTTTCAGACGCGTTTATACTCCACAAAAAAAAATTTCTATATCAGATGTCTAGTAAATATGTCCAGACACTTTTCTATCTCGAAAGATGTGTCGATGCAAAAAAAAATCTTGTGCTGAAGACAGAATGAAAAGTAGAAACAAACAGAAATGTTCGAACACATGTGAAAATTCTTTTTTCATCAACGAGTGAATGTGTTTTTTTGATATGAAATACACCTAGATGTTCTTGTGCTGATAAACTTAGGTAATAAAGTTAAGATTCGAATCAATCTTGTTTTGAACGAGAAAATGCTCCAAACTAACTAGTATAGCTCAGTAATGTATATGCACGACTTCTGATCAATGATTCTGCTTGTTCAAGTCTGACTGCCATCGCTTAAGGTAATTAATCAATTCATTCTCCAGAATAGGCTAAGACCATTGTGACATGATGTTTGATGGTGGCTCAGTTCGAGCTTGAGATAGATTAATATTAGTTTTTTAAATATTTTAAATTTCAATTGGAATGTGTCCAGACGTGATTCAAATGACGAATGCATTTAGACGTGTTTCTGATATAAATCGCGTCAGATGCATTTCGCATCAAAACAATATTTACATGAACTGTGTCGAACTTCTATAGTGTGGATTATCCGATTTCTTCTTTTTTTAAAAAAGCTTTTATCTTTTGTTTCCGAGCACGAACCGTCCAATATCAGCGATTGATCATAGTCAATAGTCGCTTCTTATTTGAATATCAGTTTGCACACATTCCATCACATTTGAACCATTTCTCTCTATCCCATATCGATCAACTGCTTAGCTTTGACATTCGAAAAAATGAAGAATATCTTGTGACAGTCGATACACCACCTGTCACTCTTTTGACTGGAATCACCTACTAAACATGTTTTCGACAAAAAAGACATATTCTCATAGTTAACAGCAATGGAAATTTCTACAAAAAATATCTCATGCCATTATGTTTTGGCAAAGTAAATCAGAGCATATTCTTCTCTTTAATCTTCTGATGACTCTAATGCAGAATATCACTGCAACTGGATACGTTTTCTTCGACTCTTTTCGTCATATTTTTATCGTTAAATATAGAAAAATCACATCCAAGCCTAATTTAATATTAAGCTCAATAAAACACATTTGATAAAATTATTTTAATATTTGATAACAGACATGTTATCTTTTAATATTATATTCGATTATTGACGAATTCTATGGTAAATTCAACAAATGATGACATAACTTTTCTTTACAAACTCTAAATTAATAACATTGATGATTGGTCGTCAAATTGTAAGGTAACTTTCTTTCAACCAATCTCTATTTAATCAATAAGCCACAGTAAAACAAAGGAAAATTTCATAAATAGTCTGATTTTTTTTATTACTTCAGGTAATTGAAATAAATATTTTTATTTTCTTTAATTCTTTCTTGGTCTGTCTGTATTTCTTGACATTTGCACACTAATGAATCATGAGATATTTTATATATTTATAAATATAGTCGAACATGATTAATATGAATTTATATTAATTGTTTATTGTGTAATTATTTGTTATTTGTGGAAATGTTCGTTTTAAACAAAAAATCTTTTTTTTCATTAGAAAAACTCATTCAAATCAAGATGAGTATCAATATGTTTATTTATCGTAATTAATTAGTTAAAACTAATGTCAACATTATCTCAAAGTAAATCAATAATTTTCATTATTTTTTCATTTTCAACAGTTCGAATTTCTCAGTAAAGTAATTAAAATTTGTAGATGTTTCAAAATTAGATCTTTTAGATTATTCATATATTCAATAGTAAATAGAAATTATCTTTTTATTTCAAAAATAGAAGTTGTTTTCGTATGATTGCTTTGCCAACAATAACAATGAGAATATCAATAATACCAGAATATAAAAATAATGAAGATAAAAATTAACATGATGAATAGAATAATACCATCTCGACATTGAATATTATTGAAAACTTCTAATTCAGTACCAGAATTCAAAGGATAAATTGCCACATTGATCAATTCTCATTTTATTGCATGACGCATAATCGAGTAGATTTTTCTATTTTATATAACTTGTGTTTAATTTTCTAACGTCGATTTATGACTATCACATGAAGATATGTCATTTCAATCATCTATTTTACATTCGATTGAAGGTGTGGATGCGGATGTGAATATTCTCTTAAACACACCTACACCCCTCTGTATACGAGAAAGAGTATATAGGCAACAGAACTCAACTCGCCATTCCTCGTGAATTTCGATACGACTATTCCCTTAACAAATCCTTGTCACAGTAGAAGCCAGGAGGACATATGCAAAAATATTATTTCCTAGGATCTAACCGTTTGTGTAGATACATGCAATATGCGATCTATCTTTTCCTAAAATAGCAGTTCTCAAAGTTTTATAGATCCTTAGAAAAGAGCTTGGCAAGACTTGAGCCCAGAAATCGACATAAATAAAGAAAGTCAAGGCGCTCGGCAATATAACACAATATTTCACAAGCAAAGAATATCTCAAAAAAGTCGCTCACCTTTGAGCTTCATGTTTAAAAAAAATCGATGTCTCCCGGCCTCCCCTTTTGAATGATCAAAGTCCAAACTCGATATCTATAAACATTTGCGAGTTATTCAAAAAAACAGTGGAGGGTCCCGTATTTTGAATCCTACAGTAATTGTGTGCAGACTCTCTGTTATGTTGTGTGTGTTGACCATTCTATCACGCATGTGAATGCATCATCAGAGAGTACAGATATGATTGTCACCATTCTTCTATATGGGACTAACAACCATGGCGGACGGAAGCTCTGCACAATCGAAGCCGCTACTAATCCAGTCAACGCAATGACTAACAATCATCCTCGTCTTATAAAAAAACTAAAGTGGATTTTTGTCGTTGCTTTATTCTGTCTACGGATGGGAAAGTTGCCCAGCTGTCACTGTTATATATTCGGTCTCTTTGTTTTTTAATTCTTCTTCAGAAATCGACTTTAAAGAATACCAGCAGAAACAATCCATATGACTACGGTTCTCTTCGTAATGATTCTTGCTGTTCTGATGCAGATGTCCGTCGTCAGGTCATCTGAGGACACATGTCCATTTCTGAGCAAAACACCCGACTATCCAATCAATTTCCCGACGAATCCACAAACGAACGATGTACTTGCTCAGTGGAAACGCGAATTTATCCGACGCAACAACATTAATGAGTCGACTTTTAACGCACGCATTCAATTCGTTACTGGTTCTCTAGATTCATGGAGTCAAGGTGTCTCATTCCGTGTTGATTTCACTTACATATATGATTGGTTACGTGTTCGACACTTCGAGAAGATTACAGTTCGAAATGGTTCACTTGTCTTCAATGATGTTTGGACAGAAAATACAGACCCCATCTATTTTTCTAACAACAAACTCAAGTTCAACTCGTGTCAAGAAGCATCTCATGCTTTACAACAACAGGCAGGCTTTGTTACACTTATTCCAGAGCGAGTATCATTCTACGTGCCAGGCAATTTACCACGCATTCCAGGCAATCCATTCTTGTTTGCTCGAGGCATAATTAATTTGAGTAAGAATCAATGTGCTCAAGGACAAATCGATTTAGTCACTGGCAAAGTCGAAGCACGGCAAACTCCTTGTCGAATCAATTAAAAACTTTCCTGCAGCCTGCGCTCGCTCATGTTGTTTGAAAGTTTCTATTGCTTCAAAAAATAAACGTTTACTATCGATTTTAAAATACAAAGCAGGAAATTCAGAGTTGATTTTAAAGAAAAATAAAACAGAGAAATGCAGTAATAATTGAGTGTAACGACATAATGTATTTTTCATTTATTTAAAATGAAGCAAA